GAGTGCAATGAATCAAGAACATCCAAGACGTCTTCTCTCTTATCTGGTATAAAGTAAGCATCACTGTTCTTACCAGCAGACATTACATCAGAGAGGGTGAGTATATTCTCTTTCCTTTCCTCCAGTAGACCATACATCATGTGACAATAAAGACTCAAATTCCTTCCACTTGTACTACGAATGGACTCACAGGCACTAGACAAATTATTTAAGAAAGAATCCACACCACTCCCACCAAGCTTACGACAATCTAAGAAGACACTATCACACCTTTCCTTTACAATAATCTCCTGTATTTCTTCCTTTTTCCTTCTCCTTTCAACAGGATTACTTATCTCATCCACATGACTGACTATTACAATAAGATGGCATTGATTAAGAGCTTTCTGTGCTTCATTTGTGACAACTGTTAGCCACTGATGAAGCTGTTTGACTGGTTCCTTCTCCAATATATTGACTACTATCAGGAACACACCACCAGAACCTTGTAAGAGATTCTCAATGACAGCACTGTGACTTGAGTAGTATTCTGAATGACCAGCAAAATCATGAAGAATGATGTTACCCAGTATCCTGTGTTGTAGTTTATAAGGAATGATACCAGCAGTACAGGGCACTACCCCTCCAACATTTCTAAAGGAACCAAGAACAATAGAACCAGTAGCTGTGTCATTGATGACATGACTAAGAGTACTTTTACCAGCTCCAGGATTACCCACAAGGAGGACGTTAACATAAGAATCAATTGAATGAGATGATTTTATGCCACCAAACTTCTTAAAGATAGAAAGAGTATCAGTGTGATTATTTTGCTTTGCTAGTTTAAGTGGCGTGTCCCCCCTATTGTCTTTTGCCAATGGATCACATTTACCTGTTGATAATAAATATTCAACAACTGCAAAATTACCCCAACGAGCAGTAGCCCAGTGAAGAGATGTTCTCCCCCACCTGTCAACAGTCATTGGATCACAGTGACACTCATCAATGAGATATCTCATCACATCAACATGATTACCTTCTGCAGCCCAATGAAGACAAGTCCGATCCATACCATCTCTTTCCTGTGGGTCACAGTGATATTTAGTGATGAGATCTTTTGTAACATCTAACCAGCCATGCCTTGAAGACAAATGAAGTAAATTAGCATTATCCCATTCTCTTTTAATTTTATTTGGTTCCTTCACTAATGGTAGTAAGCGAACAGCTTCTTCGTGATCTCTATTTCTAATAGCATCCCAACACTTGCTCTCTAAGAACATTTTATGATCAGTTAATTAGATTCATTGCTATCAGCCCACATATCTGGAATCCTTAAAAGGTAAGCACACCCACGCATTTCGCAGATGCACTAAATTGAATCATAGACAAGTAAATAAAAAAACATTAAAAATGGGAAAATAGTAGGATTAGTAGGATTGAATGGGGAAAAAAGTAAGGAAACATGAAGGTACTTGCAAACTAGTGTGGTAAGAAATCCTACACCACTGCATAAAAAATAAAGGCTTCATATAGTGCTATCATAGTTGGCTGTGAGGATAAATTGCTATGCTTTTGGGTAGTAATCTTCATGCAGTGGTGTAGGATTTCTTACCATTTTTAATGTTTTTTTATTTACTTTTTTCCATTCTTTTTTCTTAAATTAAGAAATTACATTCTGTTATGATTCTGTGGTTAGGTTAATTATATTGATGCTAATCACGTGCGCATAAATTAAAATGGCGTCAAACCACAAACCCACGCGTGGCTGCAGCTGGATTTTGTCTTCCATTTTGTTCTCTGTCCTTGCTTCTTTTTGAAACTACCTTTGTGGTCCTTGACCCAAGCCCAGAGGAGTGATGTAAAAGTCACCTTGAGCTGTTCTCTAGTTTAAGAGATTATCCGGTGTATAGAAGAAAGATGCCGAAACTGAGAAGAAGAAAAAGTCTGAAGAATTTTGTAGAAATTTGAATTTGGGCCTGTTTTCCAGAAATGCTCCCGCTACATTACAGTTCACTTTAAAGGTACCAGGAGAATCGCTCAGTGAAGGAGAGCTCATCTAAACCATTTATAAGGCTGTACAACGTAAGATAAAAGAGATATAAGTGTTTGAAAATCATAAAAACGGACCGGCGCCATCTTGAAAAATCAACCTCAATCCTTAGGTCCGCCTGTATAATATTATCATAGATATACAAACACTTTTCGTGATTTTTAGTTTTTTAGTGTTTGTATATCTATGATATTATAGACTACGTAGTTATATACTACGTAGTACCATAGATATTATAGACTACAGTACTATGGGTTACGTAGTCTATAATATATATGTCAATACTTGTACTCATTAGTTCATCATGTCATCTATGATTTTATCTATTCCTTCTGTTCAGTCTGTTGGTGAGGATAGTTTTGATAAAAAACGTAGGAGGACTGGAGCTAGATTAAGAGGAGAAGAATTTGGTCAGAGAGTTCCTCCTATTTTTGAAATAATTAAGAGCATCCTACTAGAGTATCCCAGTGGTCAGATATTTAAAGTAAACCTAATGTAAAATTTTGGCTGCTACACTTGTGATGTCAGTAGATTCTTGCTAGTATTTTTGGGGAAAAGTGTCACATAATTTTTCTCCACTTGCTGTTCTGCATGATAAGTCTTCTTGATTAACGATGATTTGTAGCTTCTTTTGAAGAATTGTGACACATAATATGTTATAAATTAATCTTAACTAATTAATTAATAATTGACATTATTATTTCAATCAATACTAACTACTTTTCAGAGTATAATTGATGCATATTAAGCTACTGATACATAAATAAAATTTGCACCTGTAGTTACTTTATAGACCCATCTTAAGGCTAATTATCATGAGCACTAATTGTACCATATATGCCAGAGAAATAATTTCATAATAATATTCATTGGCAATAATGATATTCATGAAGCAAGTGTCACACCCACTGGACGGCAAGATGGCAGAGTCTGAATGAGTGTGGAGAATTTCATTGCCCAAA